CGCAATATGGTTCATGGGGTCACGAAGAGTCGGACCCGACTTAACGACTAAACAACAACAAAGGACCAGATGATTTTTATTATGTCCTGTACGTAAAATCACAGCACTCAAAGAGGGTATACTTTCTTTTTCACACAACTGTATACTGAAGACATAGCCAAATAGAGCTGTAGGTGGAGGCAAATAATCCAGTCTGCCTCCTTTAATTAAATGTTTGGCATTTTGCACTTGGACAATAGTCAAACATCAGGTTTAGGTCCTGCCAAGTGAACAAAGATACATTTTTGGGAAGAGGCAAGACATGACAAGAGTTAGAATTTTGCTCATCAGAACAGGTATAGCTGATGAGTTCATTTTATATGGTCCAACCTATAGTCACATGGTCTGTTCCAGCCAGTAAAGGGTCAGAAGGGATTTTGTAGGGCTGATTGGCCTTTGTCATCCATGTGGTCTGTGCTTGATCTTGGTACAAGGGCTTTATTCCCATGATAGAAGGACTTCCTGCAGAACAAACTGCCTGGTTTCTTTGCTACTACTTAGTCATATCTGTAAATTGATTGTGCAACTCATAGAGCCAGACAAACTCATTGACTCTCAAATGAAACAGTTAAAGGAGATCTTGTCTTCTTGCATTTACTAGAAACTAGTATGACTATTTATCTATCCATCCACCCATCTTCAAAAAGTGGAAGTGCATTTATTTTGTATGTAGAAACCATTGTTATAATTAAGATAGAAATATAAACCAATTCACTGTAGAGAGGGGAATCCATGACCACCAGTATGCTTGCTTAGTCTTCTGTCCAAATGCTGCCAGTTGATCATCAGGCTGTGGACCAGCACTTGCTCTACCTTTTTTAATGGTTGTCTTTAAACCAGACTTGCATTGGATAGCCATTCAAATGAAAGACTCTTTCAAATAGAGGTCAGGCCTCCAATAGCCCTTCAGATAAAGAATTGTTTTCAATAAAGGAGGACACTTGATCTCTCTGACAATACAAATTCTGGGTGCATGGCAGGCAGTCTGAGCTGGGGCTGCAGTGAGAGGCAAAAGATTGAAACCTGGACTTCCAGTGCAGATAGCAGCACCACGCCATCAAATTTGCACGGGAAAACTTCATTGCAGGCTTGAACTAGGTTGCTAAAATACTATGCACTTTGGCTCAAGGTGGTCAAATCTTAAAAGCTGTTGCTCTTTATGTTACTGTTTCATTTTAAAGGGATTTTTTTTTAGAATTAGATTTGGGGAGAGAAGAAGAAATACAATGAACATCTTTCCATTGATGATGGTATCTGGTATTGCTTTTGATCAGGACCGCCTCTTCTTTGTTATGGAGTTTGTGAATGGAGGGGATTTGATGTTCCACATCCAGAAATCCCGTCGCTTTGATGAAGTCCGAGCCCGATTCTATGCTGCAGAAATCATTTCAGCCCTCATGTTCCTTCATGAGAGAGGCATCATTTACAGGTCAGCAAAAACAATTTGCAATTTGTTGTTTTGTTGTTAGGCTCAACCAAGTGTTCCTTTTTGTTGGGGAGGATTCTTAATGGTGATTAATATACCTGCTGGAGTTCATAAATGGGATGGCTTCTTTGTATTTATTGTTGCACTGAAAGAGAAAATTTGACAGATGTAATTTGAGGGGGGCATCACATCAGTGTGGAAGATTATGGAGTTTCTGGAAGATCATGGCATAGAAGATCAACTGGGGAAAATCATGGAGTCTTACAGTCATAGTTCTTATCTCTATTCAGTTAACATATTTGAGTGAAACATATCAATGTGATAAATGGATTATTTTGGGGGGAATGCCTTCTTCCTAAAGAAATTACAGTGGTACCTCGGGTTACGAACGCCTCTGTTAACGAACTTTTCAGGTTACGACCAGCTCCAGCGCAAAAATTTACCTTGGTTTGCGAACTCCGCCTCAGAGTACGAACAGGATACGCGGCCATTTTTCCACCCCTGACACGTGGTCCGCGGCCATTTTTCCGCCCCTGACACGTGGTCCGCGGCCATTTTTCCGCCCCTGACACGTGGTCCG